GTCCCGCTCCCCCCCCCCCCCCCCCCCAAGAGACCTAGTCATTTGGATAAGTGGCATAATGCCATGCTGTTAGCATAAACTTTATAAATTGTGGGGTAGGAGGGAATTCTATTTTGGATCTTTATGAGAACTCTTACAACAATCAATTCCACCACAGCTTTGGCAAATTTAGTATTTACTTTAAATGTTCCCTTCTCTAGGAAAATGGAAGGTATGGACGCCGCAAGCAGTACCCAATCTCACTAGTTCTGGCACCAACTAGGGAACTGGCCGTGCAGATATATGAAGAAGCCAGGAAGGTACACTTTTGCCAACTTGTCAAGATAAGCATCCACAACTCCTTTTCTTGTCATGAAGTAACTAATTTTGTCCTTTACAGTTTTCGTACCGTTCCAGAGTCCGTCCTTGTGTTGTCTATGGTGGTGCTGACATTGGTCAACAGATACGTGACTTGGAACGTGGATGTCACTTGCTTGTTGCGACTCCAGGGCGCCTGGTTGATATGATGGAGAGGGGGAAAATTGGATTGGATTTCTGCAAGTAAGTTAACGTTACACTCTTTGTACCTGAATGTACATGTTACAGTTTGGGAAGGATTTGGAATTGGCATCTAGCTTTTTAAGTTGAGGAACCTCTTCTAGTTAAGGTTAAAGATGCTTGAGATTTGTTGTGTGGCTTTTTAGGAAAGGCAAAACTAATGATAACAGCAGTCTTGTTGGCTTTGAACAGCTACTGTCCTTGTATAGTGAAATCTGTGCCTTTTTTTGAGTAATGAATCCAATCCCATTTCAACACGTGAGAATTGACATAATCTTTTGGCTTCAAAACTAAACTCCCCTTTTGATAGCTTGCCCAACCTACTTAAAATGTAGTTCTTTTAAATGGTGTCTTGGAGCACCTATTTAGTATGTTGTAAGCCAGCTTGCTGCTAATTATAGTCTTTCCCTGACCTTCCTGCAGCACCAATTGACACATCAACTCTTGACCAGTGTCATAAATATTTAGGATGTACATAAACTGATTTAACAAGTACCTACTGACCTAGATCTGGTTATCTATCCACTTTGAGCCTGTACTCATGGCATATACACCACATTAAATGACCAGTATCCAACTGGAACCAATAGTCTGGTTCAGTGTTGCAGTGCTGGGTTAATACTTATAAAGGTGATTTGTCTGTTGGAGGGAGGATTTTGATGACTTTTATATATGTATTCAAGGTATCTAGTATTAGATGAAGCTGATCGGATGCTTGATATGGGGTTTGAACCTCAAATTCGTCGTATTGTTGAACAAGATACAATGCCACCAAAGGGTGTTCGTCAGACCATGATGTTTAGTGCCACTTTTCCCAAGGAAATCCAGGTATTTGCCTTCGTTTTGGTTTTGCCTTAACATACTGGCTTCTGAAATTTAATCTGTCTCCTGCTGAGGGAAGAGAACTCATCTTTCTTTTTTTCTGTAGATGCTTGCTCGTGACTTCCTAGATGAGTATATCTTTCTGGCTGTTGGCAGAGTGGGCTCAACATCTGAGAACATCACGCAGAAAGTAGTGTGGGTGGAAGAGATGGATAAACGGTCATTTTTGCTTGACCTCCTAAATGCTACAGGTAAAGGCTTTTGGAGAACTTCATTATGGTTGCTGATGAATGATTTTCTGTAAAGTACAAAGCATCCATTGACATGCAGAAAACATGGAAACAAGGTCTAAGAATTTTTTTTTCCTTCTAAAATGCATGCAAATACAAAATTCAAATAACAAATG